GGGGTGGAAATAAGGGAGGGGGGTAGAAGGATACAGTTGTTTTTCGGTGGTAAATGGGAAGGTTTCGGAAGGGCAGAAAGGAAAAAGAAGGGTAGGGGTTGGAGGTTTTTTTTTCGGGGTGGGAGGTGGAGGGTGGAGGGAGTAAAGAGCAGAAGTTTGCTCTCAGTGTCATCAAGTGAGGGTTGAGGTCATGTTGTGTCTCCCTCCGTGAAGTTGACGTCTGCTCGCGGGGACAGACGACCGTGGTCTCGTGCCGTCTGTGTATGTGTGTGTGTATACATGTACATGCGCGCGTGTGTGTAGGCGCGTCGAGAGGTCTCTACTATTACTACTACTACTTGACTTCTCATTTCTTTTCCGGTGCGATGGTTTTCTAGACTTCTCATTTCTTCTTTCGAAACGATGGCTTAGGTTCTTAGACGCCTCATTTCTTTTCGAAGCGATAATTAATTCTCATACTTTTCAGTTGTTTTTCGAGACGATGGTTTACTCGATCTAGACTTCTCATTTCTTTTCGAAGCGATGGCTTCTTATAGTATAGGCTTTTCATTTTGTTTTGAAGCAATGATTTCTCATAGTCTTTTTATTTCTTTTCGATTCGATTGTTTACTAGCCTTTTCATTTCTTTTGAAGTGATTATTTTCTAAGACTTTTCATTTCTTTTTCGACACTAGACTTTTCAGTTCATTTCGAAACGATGGCCTACTAGAGTTTTCATTTCGTTTCGAGACGATGGTTGACTAGACTTTTAAATTTTCATGTCTATTTCGAGACGATGGTCATATCGTATACATGTGTTTTCCTCACCTTTGTGTTTCCGTGGACGGAAGAGCGAGAAGAAAGTAAGGACTTTGATCACTTGAATGGATACGTTTCGATGTTTTTGGTTTTTTTAAATTATCTGTTTGTGTGTCCGTTTCATGTCTGTCTATGTGTCTGTTTCATATTTTCTGTTTCACATTTCTCTGTCTTATATATGTCTATGTCACTGTTTCATAATATGTCTATATGTCTGTTTCATATATATTCTTCCTAATTATTATTGTGTAGTTGTTTTACATTTTGGAAAGCCCAACGAAAGAATCCACCCTTTCTTACGAAAAAGAACAAAACAAAACAAAACACCTTCAAGAAAACAAACTCAGCTAAACAATAAAATAAAAAACCAGGATAGGCTAACCTACTCGCATCAATACCTTGAATTAAGGGAATCAATAAAACGCATGGGGAGAGAGATTACTGCTGTGGGCGGTTGACGGGTGCTCTGGTGTGGTTTGCTACTTCTTTCCAATCAAACATCTATTGTCCTTATCTCTCCCTCCTTCTTATTTGTGGGGTGGTTTGTTTGTTGTTTTTTGGGGGGTTTTTTAATACTCTCTTTTAACTTCTCAAATCTTCGGCACTTATATGACCTTATATTGTGTTGCAACATAAAACTCTTACTGTGGGTGGTTGGCTGGACAATCACCTGAA